TGGGGGTAGAGATACACAGTTCGTCAGAGTAATTAGTTGATTGGGGCTGAATAACTCTAAGAATAAACATTTGAGCCCTTGGCACCTCAGGACTCCTCTGGAATGAGAAGGATTACGAATTAAACGTACAAGACAGAGGATGGCTCAGATACAGTTAACATCATGGAAAGCATATGGGACACATTAGATAAGCTAGAGACGGCTGTGGCTTACGGTTTGCCCATCTTTCACCAGAGGCTTATGAAAGCTGTATCACTCTGGTGTGAAGAGGAGGGTGGGATGCAAGGAAGTGAGTAAGAAGAATGGGCTAGCGGTGACAGCGGTCCCTACTGCCCAAGAGCCACCTTCCTTCCCTGGAGGGAAGTTCCAGGGTGCTCAGAGACACAGTAGCCCGGTAGCTGGGAGAAACAAGGGATGCTCCCTGACATCCTGCAACACTGCAAGTGTTGTGCGCACTTAATCTAATAATATAAAGTTCATTACAAATTCAAGGAAGAGTAGGATGTGTTTTCACAGATGGAGAAATCCAGGTTCAAAAAAGTTAGATAACCTTTTCCGATGCTAGAAGAGGAACCACCCAGGGTTCAGACCTAGAAGTGGGCTTCTTCAGCCTCATGTTCTCCGAGCTGACCTAGGAATGGGCTTCTTCAGCCTCATGTTCTCCCAGCTGACCTAGGAGTGGGCTTCTTCAGCTTCATGCTCTCCCAGCTGACCTAGGAGTGGGTTTCTTCAGTCTCATGCTCTCCCAGATGACCTAGGAGTGGGTTTCTTCAGCCTCATGCTCTCCGAGCTGACCTAGCAGTGGGTTTCTTCGGTCTCACGCTCTCCCAGCTCATAGGAAAGGGCTTCTTTGGCTTCGTGCTCTCCCAGCTGAGCTATTCTGGTAGCTGTAATGGGGCAGCATCTACCAAAACACGCTTCTAGTAGTCAGAAACCCAGGGCTCAGACTCCCAAACATGTGATGTCCGACTCTCCTGACTTGCCTGGACCAAGAGAGTTTTGGGGACACTGAACCTTCAAAAGTAATACTGGGAACCTTCTGAGGGTAACTGTTGCTAGACCCCGGCTGAACAAAGCACCGGGGTGGAAGGTTCTGTTGAGGAACAAGAGGACGCCCCCCTGCCTGCCCTGTCCTCTGTTTCCAGGCGGCAGTCATGAGTCATCGAGTCATCGATGGCCCACTTGTCTTATGTCTTGACACATCCTGGGGCATTGTCATAGAAGTTCACATCTCCAGCAGTGTGAATTCCTCAGTTCCTGTCCCAACCGTCAGTCAGTAGGAATTTAGCTAACCGGAGCGTCCACTCTAGTGGAAGAGCTGAGCCTGGGGCATTACAGGAACACAGGCTTTCTCTGGAAGCGGGGTAGGAAAGGGGCAGCAGAGGCAGCCAGCCAGTGCTGGCAGAGTGCTTGTTAATGGCGGGGGCCCTGAGCTCCATACTTGAAGCACATTATCTCACACTTGTGTGCACATTCTCTCAACCCTAAAAGGTAGTTATTGTGAACACAAATTACAGGTCTAAAGAAGAAAAAAATAAATAAACCCAGAAAGAAGCTAAATAACATGTCTAAGGCCACACAGATAGAAAAATGAAAATGCAAGACTCTATTTATTTCTGTCCAAAGCTATGTGACTTTTTCTGCTATATCATAGTGTCTGGCTGTGACATTCTGAAGTGATACATAGCTGACCTTCTTTCTGGCTCCTGGCACAGGGTCGCTAAAGCCCCCTTTTAAAGGTTTATTTTTTGTTACGTGCATGTGTGTGGATATATGCATGTGGCTGCAGATGCCTACAGGGAAGGCAGCAGATTCCCCCTGCAGCTGGAATTATAGGTGGTTGTAAGGCACCTGACATGGGTGCTGGAAACCAAACTCAGGTCCTCTGCAACACCAGAGTGTACTGTTAGCCACTGAGACATTTCTCCAACCCAGAACACTTTTTTTAAGTGATATGGTGATAGGAGCATCTTTTGTTATATTTAGCCTTAATCCCCAGTGAGTAGGGGGTTGTGAAAACCCCTGATTTATAATCAGTAGGTCAGAAGTATTAGGAGACCTGGGACTAGTGGTTGATGACTGAAATGGATACAGTCTTAGGAGACTGAGCCTTTAACCTATGCGGTCTAATACTAACCCCAAGTAATTAGTGTCACATAGGATTAAAACCTTGGATGTCTTAAGGCTGGAGAGATGGCTTGGCTGTTAGGAACTACTCAGAGGATCCAGGTTTATTCATCCACAGGTATATATGTGGCTCACATATATGCATGCAGGGAAAACATGTACATACATAAAGATAAATCTCTAACAATATTTTAAAATATTTGCTGTGGGATGGTCTTTCTATATGCTATGAATATGTATTGCTCTCATTGGTTGATAAATAAAGCTGTTTTGGCCTATCACCAGGCACAATAAGGCTGGGTGGGAAAGCCAAACAGAGATATAGGGAGAAGGAAGGGCAGAGTTGAGAAAGACTAGATCCAGACACCCAAGGAACAAGATGTCAGAGAACCAGTAAGCCACAGGCCACATGGCAATGCATAGATTAATAGAAATGAGTTAATTTAAGAGGAAGAGCCTGAGTAACAAGCCTGAGCTACCAGGTAAGCATTTATAAGTAATATTAAACCTCTGAGTGGTTATTCAGGAACTGGCAGGTGGGAGAGAACCATTCATTTACAAACATTGGATGTGATGTTGGTGTAAGAGTGAGTAGATCCATTGTTAGCATCTTCATTGCCCACTAAACCCAACTTGGAATCACCAGGAAACACAATTCTGGGTGTTTGAGTTTCCGTGGAGGTTTAACTGAGAAAAGACTCCCTCAATGTAGATGACATATCCCATGGGCTGTGGTCTCAGACTGTATTAAAAAACAGAAAAAGAATGAAGCCACTGTAAACAAAAACATTGATGGAGCATTTATCCTTCTTTTGGAAAAGGGGGTAATATAAATAAACAACTTCAAGAACTTTCCTGAAGCCAGCGATGGTAGCACACACCTTCAATCCCAGCACTCAGGAGGCAGAGGCAGGCGGATCTCTGTGAGTTCAAGGCCAGCCTGGTCTACAGAGTGAGTTCCAGGTCAGTGAGGGCTACACAGAGAAACCCTGTCTCGAAAAACCAAAAACCAAAACCAAAACAAAAGATTCTTCCTGAGACATCTGCTGATCGACGGTGGAGCACACAGCAAGGTGTGTGCAGACCTAGCTTAGGGTGGCTTGCACCTCCAGGATGTCATCTACACCCAGAAACTGCAGATATTACAAGGAGCCACAGTCTGACAGTTTGCTTGGCTTGTGACAAAGAATGGATTCAAGTCCGTTTGCTCTCAGAGAAGGGAAGTGCTAACCTTGCAGCATAATTATCCCACCCAAAAGACAAAACCAGCAAAACACACACACACACACACACACACACACACACACACACACACACACACACACAAAAATCTACATTAAAAAAATCTAGTAACCCAGACAAGCAGTGGTGACTCAAGCCTTTAATCCCAGCACTCAGGAGGCAGAGGCAGGCAGATCTCTGAGTTTAAGGCCAGTCTGGTCTACAGAGCAAGTTCCAGAGCCAGGGCTACACAGAGAAACCCTGTCTGGGAAAGAAAAGACGAAGCCAGCTGTATTAGCTTCATTTCTGTTACAGTGATAAAATACCCCGACAAAAATAACTATAGAGGAAAAATGGTTTATTTGGCTTACAAGACTGAGTTACAATCCATCGTTGCAGGGAATTCAAGATAGCAGGAACCTGAAGTACACCGGTTCTATCCACAGTCAGAAGTAGGGAGAATGAATGTGTGCAAGCTTGCCTTCAGCTCACTTTCTCCGCTCTTGTACAGTTCAGGATTCAAATGCAGGGAATGGTACTGCCCACAGTGGAGGAGTCTTTCCGCATCAACTGATGCCGTCCAGACAACCCCCACAGACATACCAGAGGCCAACCTGGTCTAGACAGTCCCACACTGAAGATCTCTTCCCAAGTGAGCCTCGACTATCAACGTGGCTGGAGAGATGGCGCTGTGGTCAAGAGCCCTGGCTGCTCTGTAGAAGGCCCTGTTAACCTCAGTGCTGGAGGACTGCCACTCTCTTCTGGCCTCAGAGGATACTGCATGCGTGTGGTATACAGACATACACTCAGGCAAAACACCCATAACACATAAAATAAAGCAAAATCTAAAATACTCATAATCACCAGACTTCACCTCTGTCTGCTTCCTGACTATAGATGCAGTGTGACCAGCCACCTCCTGCTGATGCTCCTGGCCTCCTGTCATGATGAGTGGCTTCCTTCTCAAACCGTAAGTCCAAAAATATCCTTCTTCCCCCAAGTTGTTTCTGTCGGGTATTTTTGTCCACAAAATGAAAAAAGTAGCTAAAACATTGGTGTTGAAACAGAGCAGGCATCATTCTGACAGTCTCAAACCATACACATTGCTCCCAGAAAGATGGCTCAGCGAGCAGATGTGTTTGCTGCCAAGAATTGATGAGCTGAGTTTGATCCCTGAGACCTACACACGACTGTCCACCACGGCTCATGTTTCCCGGCACCTCTCTCTCTCTCTCTCTCTCTCTCACACACACACACATACACACACACACACACACACACACACACACACACACACACACACACGCATGCATGTATGCCTGTACATACATGTGCACATAAAATAAGTAAATTTAATAAGAACAAGTATAAAAAGAAATGTAAATAGAAATAGATCCCAGTATCAATGCACAGTTGCCTCCCCATTTTCTAAGAGCTTAAATTCATTAATTTGAATGTCTTTCATGTGTTTCCATATTTTTAAAAAAAGTTTTACCTTAATTTGGGTAACATAGGCCTTCACAATGGAGGATTAAATTACCTACTTAAGTTCACTGTATTAATGAAAACCTATTGAGTGAATGAATACCAAGTCGGGGGGGGGGGGGCGGTGGAAGAAAGTCTAGCTTTGTTGGGAGGAGAGGTCTGCTTACCTGGTCACTTCTTGTCTGTAAGAACACAGGACAGTGTGACAGGTTGTGACGGGTTAACGTTGTGACTGCAGGGGTGATTTCATGCTATACGCCAAATGCTACCAAAGCACATCTGCTTCCCCAGAGCTTCCTTTGTTCTCCAACTTCTGCTATGGGGACACAGCAAGAGGACCCTGTCAGATGGAAGAACCAGGCTTGTGGGCTTCCAGAAACACGAGCCCAATGAACTTCCCTTCACTGTAAATTACCCACCTCAGGAAACAGCCGAAAACAGACTAGAACACGGTATGGTAATGGTTCAGAAAGCACATCATGTGCAAAAAGGAGGTCCTGCCTACAGGTCTCAGCTTATCACTTGTCAATGCTGGTGCAGAAGCACACACATAACCATTCCACTTCCCATATTTACACCTCTCAGTAAATCCTTAGAGAATCAGTGTGTTACTCCTCCCAGAATCTTCAAAGATTCTTTCACCTCCTTGCCTCCACATATTTCAGTTTCCAAACTTTGACACTTAATACCAGGAAGAGTATTGAAATCTCAGATCTGCCCTCAAGAAATTCTCACCAGAGGTGTGGAGTATGTCCTGGGATTTTTAATTTTTTTTATTTAATTTCTATTTTTTTTAGCTTCTTGAGATAGGGTCTCACTATGTAGTCCTGGCTGACCAGGAACTCACAATGTAGACCAGGCTATCCTCAAACTCAGAGATCTCCCTGCCTCTGCCTCCTGAGTGCTGGAATTGTACCACCATACATGGCTGTGACCTGGAATTTTTAATAAACTTTCCAGATGACTCTGAAGTAGGAGAAAAATGTCTTCTTCCTGAAGAAGACGTTAAAGTCCCTCCTGAATTCGACCCAGTTTTATTTTTCTGGACTTAATTCTTTCTAGTTTGTAGCTCATTGAATGACTCACCAATAATCATGTGTGTTTCCCTTCACCTAGAGTTACTTTTCCTTCTTCTTTATGTGATCCCTTAACCAGGGCCACCAGCCACACTGTCAGCCCTTCGGAAATGTGTTAACGTCATCAGACAGAACTAGTTACCCCCTGTTGTTCATCTAGAACACTATTCCGATGTTGCTACGTTACTCTAATATTAACATTGGGGGGCGGGGAACCCTCCTTATTTAGGGCTGAGGATACAGCTCAGCTGTAGGGTGCTTGCCTTGCACTAGGGAGGCCCTGAGTTCAGCTCCCAGGATCATGGCCGGTCAATCTTGTTAGGAAGTACGCAGGAGTGTGCCTGTTCTTCGCACAGTGAGTGAAGAAATGGACAGCAGCGCCATGCTATTGCTCTCCCCCTGAGTCCCTGCGCTCTCACGTTCTAGACAGGTGAGCCTGGAAGCTCTAAGAAAAAGGAAGGCTTTCCTACTTCCGTGTGCCCCCGAATCATGCCAGGGACTACAGTCGGCGAAAAATACCCACCCAGTGGGTGACAGTAGTTAGCAGTCCCACCCATCCCAACTGGGGGAGTACCTCTGTGTGCCCCACACCCTCCTTCAGACAAGACAGCTCTGAAGAAGCTGGAAGCACAGGGCTGGGCCGCCACGGCCTCATTCCCAGCTCTCCGACCCTTCTGTTGATAGAACACTGTTGCTATAGAGATGACATTACTCCAAGGGACAGAGCTGATTGAAGGCTCCAGAAAGGCCCCTCAGGAAGGCTGTGCATGGAGTCCCTCCATCCCGTCATCCACTTCCTCCTCTATGTGCTCGCCTATTCCTCTGTCTACTCGTGTTTGTATGTGTTGGTTTATTTTATTACCATCTTCATGGAGGAGTAGGCAGGCAGCTGGACAAAAGCCTCTCTGGGTACAGAGAGCCCTGCCCACTGCCCATGGTGAGATCTAAGACCCAACTAACACTGGCTAAGGAAGGACAAAGAGGGGTGAGGAAGAGGCAAAGGCTGGCCTTGGCAGGAAGGGGGCGGTCCTGAGAAAGAGCAGGATGATGCTGGCCCTGTAAACTTCGGTTTTGCCTGAAGCACTCACTGCAGGACCCCATCCCACCTGACTGTAGCAGGCTCCTAAGGACTAGTTCAGGGCTTCCTCACGAAGGCACCGTGTGCCCTAACGAAGTGGCCAAGTCTGGGGACAGGGACAGGCCTGGGTAAGATAGTTGATGCAGGGCTGGCAGCAGGTAGACAGTGTGCTTCTGGACTTCTTCAAATTTGGCTTTTACAGGGTCTTCAGGACATGCTTGGCATCGACAAGGGCAGGACTGGCCTAGACCAGGCTGCCTCCGCCCGTGCCTGGCCTCTTTGTCCTGTCCCTGGTTGCTTCCGACTGGCGGGCCTATGGAAAGACCTTCATCATCTGGAACGGCACCCCAACAGCCCTACAGTGACCCACAGTGACCCGTCGACTCAGACAACATGCGTGTATTTCAAGTTGCCTCACCCTGCAGTTGCTCAAGCACCCAGATTTCTGAAGAAGCAGAAGTAGGAGCAGATAGGTAGACTCCTGTTGCCACACAGCTCTGGATTTCCATTAGTGGGGATTGTCTGCCGATGCCTCAGATATTAATGTGTTTGTGGGCAGTTGAGTACTCTTTGAGAGGGAGTATGAAGGATACAGGAGGAGATGGAGCAGGGAGAGAGGGGATGGAAATTATGCATATACAGTATTCATGTATGAAATTCTCCAAAAACTGTAAAAAAAAAAAAAAGGTGATAATAAAGAAATAAATACTGGCTCCTTTTGGTGCAAGTGTTTCATTTGGGGGCGGAGTCATATTTGGGGAGCTGGCAGGGAGGCTTGGACCTACTAGCTTAAAAGGGAGGGGAATAAGCCTTTAACCTGCTCATAAAAGGGAGGGGTGGGGACCCTTAGCAGGAAAGTAACGTTAGGATGTCTAGTGTCTTGGATGCATCTCTCCATCGTCGTTTCTGTGGCTTACCCAGGGGTCAGTCACAAATGAGGTGTGGTCAGCCCAAGTGCACGGGACAGGAACAAAGTGAGGTTCTGGTGCCGAGTCCCCTCAGAAGCCCCACCTGTTGAGAAGATGAAGGACTCGTCTGGTGTTTCTTATGCGTGTCTGTCTAGGCGAAGATTCCGGACAGCTAGAGTGTCTTTGTACAATAGGTTAGCGGGTTTCTTTCACTCGCTGCTCCAGGGGCATGAAGGGCTCTGCATTTTCTCATCTCACTTTGTTCCGGCTCTTCCTGATGTTGCTGATTAGAACCCAGCACTCTCCAGGAAGCCCCAAAATTGGATCAATCTGGAAAGCATAAAGGAGATGGAGGGCAAGCTCTGGGAATAAATATGTAAAGCAAAACCTCTGCTCTCCAGGGACTCCTTTTGTGGGACGCAGCTTTCAACAGTCAGACATCCAAAGAAGGCAGGCATGCCTCCCTGACATCTTAAATAAAAATTTCAACAGTTTTTTTTTTTTTGTTAAATACTAAAGAACAGTTAGGGTAACTTGGAGGGCAACCATTATTTTTAATGTAGTGAGTACTATTAATTTGATCTCATGGTTGAGATTTATAAGATGTATTGAAGTTATGAGGTACTTTTAATTCTTTGTAATCTTCATGACTCTGGTAGAGAAAATTGTAAAATCGGCAAGTTTTTGAATTAGAGATGTTTGGAAATGTGAATAAGAAATAAAGTCCAACCTGATAGTTTATATTACTTACCACATCGTTACATGGTTGCCATGAGAAGTTGTTTTGGAATACAAACTCGGAATGAGTTAATGTCTTAACTTTGCAATAGTAAACTCATGGTTAAAAGAGGTTAACCATGCGGGCTGGGAATGTAGCCCAGTCACCAGAGTGCGCGCCAGCAGGCGTGAGGTCGCCCTGTCGGATCTCCTCCCAAAACGGCATCTCAATGGAACTGTGCTGTTTAGACAGCAAAGAACATGGGAGGAAAACCAGAGCCTGCGGGCAACAGAGACCGCTTATTGCGAGTTAGTGCCTCCGTTGTGTGTGTTAAGGAGGCTCACAGTCTGCTGGGAAGGCCCCGCAGCACTCCTTAGGGAACCAGTGGACAAGGCTGTGTAGAAGTCCTCGGTCAGGAACAATAAATGCAATGAAGGTTAATCACGCACATTCAGCGTCGTAAGAATGCAATGTATATAGTGTCCAGTGTTGTCTAATGAAGTGTTTGAGGTTTCTTTGGTCAATAATTATTATTAAAGGACGTCTCTACCAGTAACATGATTTGAGAGATAGCTCCAGAATCTATGGATTGCAAGACATTAGGAGATCACTTGCGATCTGTGGGGTTTCATGACTGTTCTTTGGGTCGCAGTGGTGATTGTTGTGTATGTTTGGAGGCCTGTCATCTAAGGACAGCTGTATGGTGTGGTTCTGGCTGTTGTGAATGTAGCCATCTACACGGCTTACTGGTTTGGGTCAAAGGTTTTCATATTGAGTCCGTGAAGTTCTAGTCACTCGGTTTTAATTGATGATTTGCAAATGTCTGTTGAAATGAGGCCTGAACAGCTGACAGCGAAGAATAGTCATTTAAAGCTAACAGGAGCTCAGATTATTAAGATGTGTTCCTTGGGAACAGTTTAAGTTTCCCATCAATGTTTTACCTTGCCTGCGTGGCAAACTGGAATCTGCCATCCCCAAATATGAAGGACTGTTGAACTAAACATAACCAACCAGCAGATCTAGGGATGCTCTCAGCCTCCTCTGTCTGTGAAAGGCAAAGCGCAAGACAAGATCCTGCCTCTCCTTCCGCAAGAGAGGGATTACCAGGAGAGGCGTTCACACCTGCCGACCTAGAGATGGTGAGAGACATCTGCAGCTCTTCCCTGCTACTCATTTGCCTTCTCCTAACTGGGTGCCTCTCCCAAAAGATTCAGGTTCCTAAATCTTCTCTAAAAAATTTGTGATTCTTTGTTAAAGATGTGATATAAACAAACTGAGAACCACGGGTGAAAGAAAACCTCGGCATCTGGGCTTTCCTCATTCTCTGTGTATATATGAAATATGTATTTGCTTGTTTCTTAAAATAATTTCTAATTCTTTTCATTTTTTGTGCATTGGTGTTCTGCCTGCATGTATGTCTATGTGAGGGTATCAGCTTCCCTGGAACTGGACTTACAGACAGTTGTGAGCCGCCATGTGGATGTTAGGAATTGAACACGGGTCCTCTGGAAGAACAGCCAGTGCTCTGAA